TGTTGTTGAGCACCATGAGCGGTATGTGGCTGTCGTCGTTGGAAGCGAGCATCAAAGGGAATGGCCTCAGGTGGAGGGTTCTCAGCAATATGAAGACTAGTGGAAAACTTTAGCTCTACTTTGTTGCTTACGCTTGGGCGAATAATCGATAAATATGTATGTTTTACATGAGCAGTTGCTCGCAAGACCACCAAGTATAGACGCAACCTTGCTATTCTTTCGTAACTCGTATGCTATCGTGCAGTAAACTGAGAAACCTTTAAGCCTAGCTCCTGTTCTATACGACAGTAGTGCACGCTGCTGTTTCCTTAGAAGCAAATGGTCTTCAGCGATTCTAAATTGAATCGCGTTTACACTTGGACAGTGAAAAATCGTGCTTTTTGTGAAGTCGTTCTGCTTCAACACGAGATAAAATGATCCACTGAGATTAAAATCTTTTTCAAGAAACATTCCCCGTTTAAGGACGGTGATGAGGAATATAGCACAGAAAATATTGCATAATACAGACGACCTGTGTGACATTCCACAAATCTTGGAAACATTTAATGGAACGCATCCATGGCTTTCTGATAGGAAGGCGATCGTCTGCTGACGATGACCGTAACGACCACGAAAAGAGCCGTTGTGATTATGCTGGCCAGTAGAAGCAGGATTGAAGCGGTCCGTGAGACGCAAATATGCGTAGCCGGAGGCATTGGACGACCGGATTCTGAACCATTAGTGTAATTCGTGGTAGACGACCTCTGTCAGCAAAGTGGTGTGAAGCGAGGGAACCTCCGGATGTGGTGCACATCAACTACCTTTAGTAACGTCTACAACACATAGACGAGCCCCCTTGCAGGGTCAACTTGATAGATAACGTTGGATAACGAGGGGGTGGGGGGTCGTATTTGGGGGAGGGGGTGGGGGGTCGTATTTCGCGAGGTAGCGTTAATGTTACAGTAAGGGAAGGGATGATTTTTTATGGAACGGAGAGCGGATTAGGTTGTAGGCTGGGATTTTGGGTTGTGTTGAGTGTGAAAATTTTGCCGTTTCACATTCGATATATACCCCCCCCCTCGACGGCAATTTGGCAATTTTGGGAGGGAAAAAGTTGGGCGGGGTTGGGCTGTGTCATTGTCGCAGACGGATCAAATACTATTCAAATACTATGTAATCGACCCTATCCGGTGACAATCGGCAGGCGAGGGTCGGTAGGAGGATGGTCCATGAGGAAGCCTGAAGGGGGGTCGAATCGAGAGGCTGCTAGAAGGGGGAGGGGATCGTAATTTTTGGCGAAATTGCGTCCACGTACGGCTAACCCTCCTCCCTTGTACGCGTGTCTCCCTCATGCCGGTGTCACACTTTGCGACCAATTCGCTAGCGATTCGCTCAATTCGCAAAGTCTGACACCGGCAATATGCGTTGATTTTTTGCGTATATAGTCAATTTTGAGAAGTAGATGCTTATGTAGCACTCCTATGAAAATTGGCATGAAATTTGAAGTTGATCAATGACAAACATACTTGTCTTTTCAAAAGGCAGCACGATGACGTCTATACTGAGATCAGTCTCCATGTTCAGGTCTCTTCTCTTCTTCTTAGTTTTGTCGTTTGTATCTGAAAATAGGCTTCTCGGCACTATTCAACCATTACAAACCCAAAAACTCAAAATTTTATTTTAGTCGAGACTTTGCCCATAGGGGTAATGCCACCACCTGGAACGGAAATGACATACATGACGTTTTCACCAAATTCGCTGCAAACTTGTATAAGGGGTTATTTGGTCCTGATTACGAATACAACATTCATTTTGCCACTGGCTCCATTTGGCGTCTATTTTCTGCTCTTCTGCGCGCTCTTACTGATAAGCTCGCGATCAGGACTAAGCCTTTGGGAAAGAAGCGCTCCGAGGTAAGTGAAGCCACTCACGCTGTGATCTCATGCAACTCGAGGGAGGGCCCAGGAAATCGGAAAATATGCGTTGAACAGTGCAAACGCCGAAAGCGAATGTCATATTCGTAATCGGGACTTCAAATATTCCCAGTATACAAGTTTACAGCGAATTTGGTGGATCAGAACATGGAATTACCTCTCTGAGCAAATTTCGGCGAAAATAAAATTTTGAGTTTTTGGGGTTGTAATAGTTGAGTAGTGCCGGCTTCTTTTAGGAAGGTTTTATTCCAACAACGGGAAAGGAGCGGCATGTACTACACTAAAGCGTCTTACAGCACGGTGTCTCCTACAATACTCCATTCTCCCTAGGAAGGGAACCCCTTGGGCGTGAACCATTTCGTATATGTCCATCACATGCCCCCCCTCCTGCTGATATAGACCCCTTAGGTCCTCCAATGCTCACGGCGGAGTTCACGATCAGAAGGCAGCGGCAATCAAGGTGGGGTGGCCGGAGGTGCTGTTGTGAAAAAACATGAGAACCAGAGAAATGGGACCTTTCCTTGCCCGTTGATTTCCGCATTGATGCGACTCTCATCGGTGCTGCCCTCTTCAACGCTAACGCTCTCTCTGCTAAACGGCTAGAGACCTGCGGCGAGTGGTTAGCCAGTCGGTGGGCGTACCGCGCGATAGCGCCGCGGGAGGCCATGCTAGATCGCCGGGGTATATCTTTCGCTGCTTATTGCGTTTCGGTTTGACCCTTAAGAGTACAAATGTCTTCTCACTAGGTGATTTTTCCCTTCCTCGACCTTCGACCTTATAATGGAATCTTCCTTTAAGGCAGCGATTACGATAAAGAGGGAGCGCATCGGGGAAGCATATGCACCACACGAAGCAGTTACTTGGCTGCCAAGCGAGGTGTGGCGCTTTCACAACGAAAGGTGCGCTGGTTGCTGAGCAGGACTTCGAAAGCATCCCATCAAATGAATGCTACACTGATAAGCACGCCCACCCAAAAGCGATCGCCCACTGTTTGGGTGAGTGAGGTTCAACGAGCTGCGGTTCGTCAACAGCAACACAAACGTGAGCAAATTGATTAGGACGTGAATCTGGCATTCTGCCACCAAACGCCATTGCGGGAACTATTGATAATCCAGATTTCTGAGCGTGCTTATTGTTCCATGAAGTGATAAAAAAACGCGTCAATTGGGCCTTCCGGTCAGTTTGCCGTTTGGGCTTGACGGATTTTATCAGCTTTTTTTAAGCCGCCGGCCGTCGCCATTGAGGCACCACTCAACGTCTTCTTTGAGCTGCTTCTCGAATCTACCGTAATCGCTGCTTTTAGTTTACAGATATGACCCCTGAGAGAAACAACTGCCTCATAAAAAAAAGAACAAGCTCTGCTTAACCTTTCCTGCCCTTTTTCACGGTCGCCAGGTACCAGGTCCGCACGCTATCACGTCGCTGGGTTCAACATCTCAGATCCACACTATTTCTACGAGCTCGAACACCATAAAACAATCCACCATACCACAATTCAAAAATGGCCACGCCAAGATGGCTTTTGGAGCAAAAAAAATTGAAATTCCAATAAAATGAATGTTTACACACACAGGCCAGCCAGGCGCTTTTTGCAGCCTCCAAACAGTTAATTTTTCTATCCTTTGATATGCCAGTTTGATCTGCTCGTTTTACAAGTATCTACCTTCAAACAACCTAATTTTTTTCCTAGAAAAATCGGTTCAAAGTAATACCTCCTAATGTTATAGTTGAGAGCATTCGATTTTTCTTCCAGAATAAGACGGGGCGTTTTGAAAAATTTAATATTTTAACTCTTTTTTTAGAGAAAAAACGCTCTGAGTGTTTCGGATGAAAGTTTTCTTCAAGACTAACTCCACAACGAAGAAAGTATCAGTCGGCAGAAGCCTGTGAGCGCTAGTATAAGGTTTCAGGGCAAAAGAAATACTTTCACGATGCATCTGCAGATCGGCAACTCCGCATCAAGAAAAAATAATAAAATAAGTTGGACTCAGAACTAAAATGGAGAACGTAACGTGAATTCTCACTTACCTATTACCGTCAGGTTTTCGCTGGCAAAAGAGACATCGACGATATCGGTTTCATTAAGAGGACTATCTCTGTATGGCTTGCTGCAATGTGTCATGATGCTCTTATTGGAGAGAATGAAAAAAAACAGTATCATAACCACCGTTAGGGCGGAAGTGGTGTAGTGACAAGTGGCACGCTTACCACGCGAGCGGTCCGGGGATCAAATCCTGGGTCGTGAGTCGCCCGGGCCAACCAAGCCTTCCATCCCGGGGTCGGTTAATTGGTACCAGACTTGTCTGGGAGGATAAAAACACTGACTTGTACATCGGCTGGCCCCCGCAAGTCATTGTATAGGCCACATCGCATTCAAACGCCACTACGAATGTACAAATGGAAGTAGAATGCCGCATCCCAAAAAGGGATTGATCAACGGCAAATGCTTTATCCTTTTGCCTTATCCACCGTTACCAGAGATTGACCCATTCTCAAACTTTTCACTCCTCCCCGCAAAGTCGTATGTGGTACAACCCCATGAGGCTCACCGCTATATGGTAGTTTTATCGCTTCCCTGACCCTCTCTTCACATTGATGGAAGATGCAAAGACTGGCTAGACAAAGCGTTATAGCCATCATGTTGACAGGACACGCTTTCGAATGT